ATAACAGCAGGTGATTTTATTACAGTATTTAGAATAGGCAGAATTCTGGCATACCATATTTCAAGCTCCGTGATACATTACTTGATACTACTAGGAACAAATCCCCACTGTATTTGGCAGGAGATCCCTCTCCTTCTTGGTTGATATGTATTTATACAGTGTGTATACAAAAATAAATGTCATAGTACAAACCACTCACAATGAACCATGCCAAACCAAGTTCTAAATATACATTGATGTCCCTGAAGTAAGAAAACTTACTAGTTTTTTCCAGTGGATGGGGATAGCAACTGGATTTGGGAGGCAACAAAGAACCTAATGGAAAGTCATCCTCTGAGTGGGAAGCTTTAGAGTTTGTAATACACACTCAAAAAGTAGAATCCTTTCCCCCCACCCACCCAATCTCGACCCACCAGAGATTTTCTGTTTGAGCAAAACTGAGCTGGCTAACCACTCACAACTTGGAAAGCTGTAATCTTCCCCACACAACTAGTCCCCACCCAACAATCGTGTAAGTTTCTGAGGCATCCATCAGTAGACACATACACATAACCTTTAAGTATTTGCTTGTGCTACCACAAAAAATTAGACCAAGCTATAGCAACCATAACTTCTTGTAAGCACATTCAAGAACCAAAAAAATAATTAAGTCCATGAGAAGCTATATGTTACTGTATCCTGTTTTAAATAGTCCCTCAGGCCAGTTTAATTACATTATTACTTCATTCTGAAGTACTAGAGCCTCTTTGCTTACTAAAAGAGGCCAACAGATGAAGTCCCGAAATTGCATGCTTTTTCATTAGGAGACTTCAGTAAAGATCCTTTTCTTCAAAGCAGTCAGATGTTCAAATTATTTCTCACATTCTGATTGTTTCAAGCAAAGTTCATTTAGGAACAGAAGCATGCGCCTTCACTGAAGAGTCAAGGTTTGGTTTTGGTCTGGTTTAGTCTTAAATACAAGTATTTTTGCACTGCCTTACAGTAAACGCTGCCTTCTTTTAAAATAAAGGTGACCAATAAATAAAAGCAGTTTGAATGATATCCCACATCCCCACACTCCTTTTACTACTGTAGTCCAAGTGATTAGTCCCTGATCGGACTGTTCTCTCACATACAATGTAATGCTGATTTACAGGATGAATATCCAACAAAATCCTTTCCTGTGATTATGTCATTGGGGACCTGTCACTTTTGGTGGTGGATGTCCACGAACTCTATTTAGAAGCTGTCTCCTTAATGCATTATGGTAAAGCATTATGAAGAACTTCATATGCTCAACGTAATCTTCAATTCTCCCTTCAAGAGGCCTATTGATGGCTTTCCCACCTACTTGTGTATAAGCCAGCGGGCAGCACACTTCTGTTGGAAAGTCACACACGCATGCAGGGAACATCTGGTTCATGAAAAACAAACTGAAATCACAGGGAAAGTGACCACTTCAGCTTTAACATCACCTTAGCTTAAATAAAATCATTTCTACAAAAGCACACGTTTGTAAGATGTGTGGCTTTTCAAGAGGGTCTAGCAGACCTGCAGTAGGATCTTGAAAGACGGAACTTCTCCCCTTTCCTGCCCAGTCAGACTTCCCTCCCATTTCTTCAGCTATTCTCTACTTCCAGCTTATTCTCCTGCAGTCCTTCACAAAAACCAGACACCTGAACTTTTTAGAAGCCTTTTAACAGTATCTTAATGCTGCCTCAAAGCAACAGATGCAACACTTCTGATTTCAAAACACCACTTTCTGACTGGATCATAGGATCTAGGGCTTTGGAAAAATCACACAAAATTAGCAATATTTAAAGACTTGAGTGCTAGCACTAACACTAAGATTTTATTCTACTTAATAGTATCCTCATCCATGCTGTGTCTTCTGAAAAAAAGAGCCCACTAAAACTGTCTTGGACTTCCAAAATGCAAGGTCTCTATGTAATCATTAGATTCTTTGAAAATGTATATCATTTACTATATAAACTTTGCTTCCTACTTTCCCTCTTGGCCTTTTAAAACAATTTCAGCTCATGAGATAACAAGAATCCTGAAAGATTCATAGAACAGTTGGGGTTTGAAAGGACCTTAAGATCATCCAGTTCCAACCCCCTGCCATGGTCACACTAGACCATGTCACCCAAGGCTCTGTCCAGCCTGGCCTTGAACACTGCCAGGGACAGAGCATTTACTACTTCTCTGGGCATCCCATTCCAGTGCCTCACCACCCTCACAGGGAAGAACTTCTTCCTTCTATCTAACCTGAACTTCCCCTGTTTAAGTTTGAACCCATTACCCCTTGTCCTATCACTACAGTCCTGGATGAATAGTACATCCCCAGTATCCCTGTAGCCCCCCTTCAGATACTAGAAGGCTGCTATGAGGTCTCCACGCAGCCTTCTCTTCTCCAGGCTGAACAGCCCCTACTTCCTCAGCCTCTCTTCATACAGGAGGTGCTCCAGTCCCCTGATCATCCTTGTGGCCCTTCTCTGGACTTGTTCCAACAGTTCCATGTCCTTTTTATGTTGAGGACACCAGAACTGCACACAATACTCCAGGTGAGGTCTCGCGAGAGCAGAGTAGAGGGGCAGGATCACCTCCTTTGACCTGCTGGTCACGCTCCTTTTGACGCAGCCCTGGACACGGTTGGTTTCTGGGCTACAAATGCATACTGCCAGTTCTTGTTCAGTTTCTTGTTGACCAAAACTACTATGGCCTGATTTTCCCATGAAAATGGTCTTTGAGGACCCTGCCACCATGCCCTCAGGCTACTTCATCAGGGCTTTGTCACCATGACTGCTACACTAGCTCTAAAGCTCTTCCCACTTCCTTAGGTGAAAGCACACTTGCAGGCGTACCCCATGTCAAAATCCTTTTCTGACTAAAATAAGTGAACAACATCTGGAAAGCAAATGGAAAGGGATTGTTAAACTCTCCCCCTCTCATCCAAATTACACAAGAAACCAAGTCAGGGAAAATCCCACTGTATCTTTGTTTCTACTGTATAATGTCAGCATTCAAGTATTTAAATATTGATCTGAGACTATGTCTGCAGGGCAAGATGATACCTTTCAGTTTAAACACAGTGGCAAAGCATCCAAGCAGTTTTGCTCATGTAACACTTCCGTTTTCAGCACACTGCCTAAATTCCAAAGTTCTCCCCAATTTCCCATCATATCATTTCAACAACACAACATTCAGACATGTTAACAGCCACACAATCCCTCTTTGTAAAATTAAGTATTTCTTAGATGTATCTTCCATTCATACATTTATAAAAAATAAACCATACTTGAATAAATACTCATTTCTCTAAGTACAAGGATTATAACCAAACACAGTTCAAAACACTTGTGTAATATGACAAAGGAAATCTCTTTTAAGCATTTTTGTTATTTTTTTTTCTTTTAATAGTATTCAGGGGCCTGCAATTTCAACACAGAGAGCAGGATCAGAAAGTAATGTTACAGATGAACATGCGACAATTACTTAACAGACATGAACTTCCCAGGGTTAAAAACCAGATCTAACAATTCAGTGCTAAAAGCCTCAGACTCCAGACAGTCTTTTCACAAGGTTTTTTAAGTTTTCTATTCACAAGCAATGCCAGCTCATAACTGTAAGCATGCTTTGGAACATAAACTTGACTGAATGCAACCCTGAGCAACACAATCTAACTTGTAAATTGGCTCCACTTTGAGCAAGGAACTGGATCTCTGAAGTTCCCTTCCAGCCCCAAATTACCCTCCAATTCTGACACACAAGAAGTTTGCAAGCCACAGAAATCTGATTTCCCCATGGAACCTCAAGCTTCACAGTTGGATGCTCCAGTGCCGTCACTGTGGGAGGCTGAATTGTCCTGCAGCTGCAAGGACTGTGCTGGAAGTGGAGTCTTTAGAAAGGTCACTAACAGGGTCTCTCTCCTCACCTGCTTCATGAACCCTGAAGGTGTTTAATACCTTCAGAAGCACTGTCTTGATCACTCCTGTCAAAACCTGACAAAATTGGCCAGCATTTCCCAAAGATACTAGTGAGGCCAAGACAGACAAACAAGACAGGCAGGATAACCACATTCACTTCAATTCCTTCGGGAACAGTTTGGAAGAAAGAAGAAGACAAACAAAACAAATCTTTATTCTCTAAATGAGAAGTGTTTCAACATTAAGGGAGCTCTCCTGCTCTTACCAAAACTACAGACAAAAGTGCTTTCTGCTGTGCAGTGGAACAAAATGGGATCCTAATAAGTACATGGCTGCACTTACACTTTACTTTTTCCAAAACATACCATCCTATTTTAGCAGGGCATGTCCTGCATTAACTGCAGGAGTGGGTTTCCCCTTGCCACAAGACTGCAAGCGAGGAACCCTCAAGAAAAGAGGGCAGTTGGGCAGGCAAGTTTTCCTTTACTCTGTCCACTGTTCCTCTTCACACAGATGGGCAAATTCCCACGTCCCCTTCTGGAGCCAGCCCTGTCTCTCCAGCACTACTGATGGCCCAATCTGGACAGAAGGCCAGGGACAAGCCTTTCACAAGAACCTCCTACAGGAAGAGAAGAACCAGAAGGAACAGGACCATTGTCACTCTTTCCCTTATTCATAGAATGGACTGGGTTGGAAGGGACCTTAAAGCTCATCCAGTTCCAACCCCCTGCCATGGGCAGGGACACCTTCCACTAGAGCAGGTTGCTCCAAGCCCTGTCCAACCCAGCCTTGAACACTGCCAGGGATGGGCATTCGCAGATTCTCTGGGCAACCTGTGCCAGCGCTTCAGCACCCTCCATCTTCTCAGCACAAACACCCCAAAACAAGAAAGTGACCTCACCTTGTACTGTCCAACTTTGTCAGCACAAGTCTTTACTGTATCATGGAGAAACACTGGTGTCACCCAGAGTAAGAATTGTACAAGAAGACTACTGTGTGCAAACAACCCAGAGCTTGGCAGTCCCGTTTCATGTCCACTTCTGATGTCAGTTCAGCTACAGACATTCCAGGGAAATTACACAATCCAAATCTAACCTGGTTCCTTTGTGCTATCTTTTGTCCTTTCTTCCAGCGGAGTATGGGCTTGAGAGCAGGCAGATCCTTGTCCTCTTTTCCTCTTTCTATTACATGTTCCCCAAGGCTGTATGCAGCTTCAAATACAATTGGAGATATAACGTCTTTGACTCTTTTCTGTAAGAGAAAACAAACAGCTATTTCACCTATGCATGTAGGCAAGCAGATTTTTATACACAACTATTAAACGTATAATTACAGCAATTTTTTCTGTTCAACACTGCAGACAGGAAGCAGGCATCTCTACTCCTTTATTTTTGTATGAGCCAAACAGCAATAAGCACATTATTCCAAAACAAGTCAGAAGAAGACCTGCTCTTGGTTCCACAGAAGCAGTGGCATGTTTGGCACACCTATAAATTCAGTTTTAATAAACCCAAGACATTTCCTTAAAAAATAAAGTAAGGTCATAATTGTTTCCATTAGTCCTCCACAATATGGAAGCAAAGAGCAAATCATCTTCATCTCTGGGGCTTCTAAAACCTAGATTTTGATTGAGGTCGCCTCCAGTGGGCTCCACTTCTTAAAAGAAGACTGCTTCTTGCCTTGTTGGTTTCTAATATCAATGAAATGAATGGATGGGTAAAGGTACAAATGTGGCTATAACACATGTTTACAGACATGCAGGGGCAAGAAAAGCCATCTTCCAGCACACTTCTAAAGCAAAACTCACAGCTCCTGCACCCTCAGCACATTTACACTTTCAGTACATAAAGGAAGAAAGTTTTGCAGTTTCTCTATTTGCCATATTCTAGGATTCATACCAGATGTATTAAATGGTGCTACATTATGCATCTGATGGGATGAAAGGATTGCCTTCTCTTGTTGGTGAAGCCCAAGCCACAAAACCCATACCATTTGCCACACATGTGACACCTAAATCCAGTTTGCTGTGTGAGGATAAAATGCTTATTGTGGTCTGTTCAGTCCTGACTTCCCAAGTCCAATTTATGAGCACATGCTCTACCATTACATAGGCAAGCGTTCCTCTCAAATTTTAGCTACTTTAAAGCTTAGCGTGAATTCAGCGCAGATGACATTGAGGGAATAAATAAATACCATACATAAGCACAACAAATCTTCAAATGGGCAAACTCTCAACTTCGCCTTGCATCAGTTAGCAAGCTTCTCTGAACACAGTCTGCCAACCACGACATGTAATTGATATCCAATGCAATTTAAATTGCATCTTCCAGATGTGGGAAAGCTGGGCACTCACTTGCTTTTTGACCACCCTATTTCATCTCTTTGAAGGCAAATATTTGCTCTCTCTAATATGTTGATTGGCTACAGATCTCTGAAGTCAGACAAAGATTAGTGGCTAATCACCGGTTAGCTGGGTGAACAACAGCAGAGACCAGGTTAAATAACATTTACCCTCCCGCACCTTGAAGCCCCCAGCCAGTCCCTGAATTCAGTTCCATTACCAATGTTTGCCCATGTCCTGTGCCCAGCAGCAGCCCAGAATTATCTGAAGTTTAGACCATGCATTGCTTGGAGTGGTTTGTGTGTTCTTGGTAACGGACACCAATCAACACCAGACATATCAGCAGTGGTGGCAGCAGCTCTGTGACCTCTTTCCCACCCCATGCAAAGGACCACACATATACTGGGGCACTGCTAATCCCCTTGGCAGAAACCTCACCAATGACTTCAGCCCTTTCCACAGTCCCTACCCTTAGGGTAGGAGTTGCACCTTACAGAGATTACTAAATAACAGAGATTCAGCCAAACAACAAGCCTCAGCCAGCAGGTCAAAGGAGATGATTCTTCCCCTCTACTCTGCTCTGGTGAGACACCCGTGCAGTCATGCATCCAGCTCTGGAGCAACAACACAAGAGGAACATGGAGCTGTTGGAGCTAGTCCAAAGGAGGCCACAGCAATGATCAGAGGTCTGGAGCACCTCTGCTATGGAGACAGGCGGAGAGAGCTGGACTTGTTCAGCCTGGAGAAGAGAAGGCTCTGGGGAGACCTTATAACAGTCTTCCAATACCTAAAGAGGCCAGCAAGAAATTGGAGGAGGACTTTTTACAAGGGCATGCAGTGACAGGTCAAGGGGAATGGCTTTAAACTGACAGAGGGGAGACTGAGACTAGACATTAGGCAGAAGTTCTTCCCTGTGAGGGTGCTGAGGCGCTGGCACAGGGTGCTCAGAGAAGCTGTGGCTGCCCCATCCCTGGCAGTGCTCAAGGCCAGGTTGGACGGGGCTTGGAGCATCCTGCTCTAGTGGAAGGTGTCCCTGCCCGTGGCAGGGGGTTGGAGCTGACTGAACTTTAAGGTCCCTTCCAACCAAAACCTTCCTAGGATTCTGATTCTACTACAACTCACAGAAGCTGCTAGCTTTGCTCTCACAGAAAATCACATGTATTAACTCAAGAAAGGATTGTATCAATATACAAGATGAATATATATACAGAAAAACAAAGCTATAAAAGAGCACCCTATGCAGCAACAGTCAAACACAAGTCATCAGGAAAATCACCACCTAATCCAAACGTATGCAACCAACTGCAGAAACATGGAACAATTAAAAACGTATGGAGTGGGTTAAATTAAAATCCACCTTTTTTTTATACTTGTATTACTACAGTATGGTGTGAATAAGTGTTTAATGACTTTTAAGTGTTTTAATATGATCTTGCAGGGTTCAGTCCAATGCTCTTTGAAGTCAAAAGACAAGTTTCCCATTGACTTCAATGAATGCTGGAGTGTGCCCATATTGTTTGCTGGTGTCTCTTTCTGCTTGATTTTAGTGGTGAAATTGTGACTTCCAGCAGCTAGATTAATTACATGTGTGGATATTCTCTCACCACAGCCCTGGGGAAATGTATTTCACATACCCACTTGTCTTTAATTAAGGATTAAAGTATGAATGCTACCCAGTTATTAATTTTGCCACATGTTCAGTCCCTTCTGCTCACAACCCTACAAACACAAAGGCGACAGTCTGTGGGATTTGTCCTCAGTAAGAAACAAGACAGTTCTGCCTCACAGGTACACCACAGACTGACTTGGATGTGAGCGCGTAAAAAGAATAATGAATATTTGACCAAATGCAATCTGGAGAAGTACCATTTTAGGTTGGAAATACACTCAGTTTCTTAGAGTCCACCCAAACATACCGCTTCCAGTGGCTGAATCATATACTGGCAACACAGCCCATGGATTGCTTTTAAATATTCCTGATTTCTAAAAGGAAGTCAAAAGATACAATGACAATCAGGTTTAAGCTAGACTGAAAATTCCTTCAAGTCAAGGAAACTATTGCTTTTTGTATCAGTCACATGGCCCTAACAAAGTGGCTTTGTCAAGGAAAATAATTTCCACAAGCAGCTTTTACACGATGCTGCAATGCTAAGGAAGTATTGAAGGCTAAAGACACCACTTTGTCACAAAAAAGCATCCCTGGCAAATCACAGGACATGGACAGCACAGCTTCATTAATGAAAAGAACTTTCAGAGGACATTAAACAAGTGTAATATGCAAAGAGTTCACATCAGCAACAGAAACAACCATGTAACAAGGGTTCAGTGAGTAACAGCAGTGAATATCCAGTCTATACAGACTGGATGTTACTAAATTACTGCAAGTTTTCACAGTGCCTGAATTAGAACTGGGGATCTGAAGCTGGGTTTCCCACAAGCCTTTAGCTGTCTTACGTAGTCTGCTTGTTCTTACAAGCAGTTTCTCTAGGGTGGTTATTTTCTTTCCCTTCCCTTCTTTAAGACCAGATTTCATTCTAGACATAAGAAACTTTTGCAATCAGGCTTTTACAGAAATCAATACTCTTCAGTCCCTGTAAATTACCCTTCTGCCAGTATCCCTTCCTGCAATGGAAACAGCCCTAGCCAGCTGTATCCTTTCATCAGGATCTTTTATCTTTTCCTGTGGGGCACATTGCATGACATCACTCTGAACTGAAGAAAAAGGTGTTTTGGTATGAACAAGCTGGGTTTTTATCAAGGGTATTACAGGATGATTCCTCACTAGGATCTAGCATAGACAACCCAGAGTCCAAAAAGAGCACACCCTTAAGAGCATCGAAGAAAGCAATAAGGCACTTAGAGATGTTTCAAAAGACACCATGGTCCTGAAAGCTCACCCTAACAAAAAACAGACTTGCCATCTCCTCTTCCATGACAGCCACCTCATATACACATACATTTTCTAAATGCTGTGGCAGAATCTGTGCATGGCCACATATTTCTTCCTGTTTGTTTTCTGGCTTAGCAGGGAAGAAACAAGCAAGCAAGCAAAGCCTCTGCCAGATTTATGAGTGCATTTCTGTTTGGCTTTAGTACCAAAAAGTCCTAAGAATCTGAAAAGTAATCACAGAGCAATCATCAAACTTTAGAGCTGTGATTCTGAACATCATTTCCACTTCCCTCTCAAAGATGGAGAGCGATGACTGTAAGAAATCATGTTCTGTGCTTTTCATAGGCACAGCCGAAGGCATGTCATGACAACAAAAACACAGGCACGGATCCCAACATCCTAAAGGCACACTACCTTGGCATGCAGCCACTGCCTTCTCCAACCTTAAGTTTGTGCTACCAAGAGCTCCCACACATCAGGAACTTGGGCAAATGTGGATGGAACAAGACTGGGCTTTAGTCAAGGGATAGGATTTATTCTGCTCATGAGTAGTTGCCAAAGAGGACTGGGTATCATTTCAGCTTGCTTTCGGCTCAGTGCCACAGTACAGTCAGGGGACTGTACATGAGCCCAATAAATCATCACATTTAATCCCCTGTCTTCTACAAGGTGAAAGTCTCCAGCAGGGACTCTGAGGAGTGCCAAATTCCATTTTTAATTATGGCCAATGGGCTGAGAAATAAATTGAGATGTAAATAATTCCCCACAATCTACAGCATGAGTCCTGCAGGAATAAAGGACAAAATGTGGTCCTTTAAAGCAATGAATATGAAGTCATTTCCAGCAGCATTGAGAGGAAATACACGTAACCATCAGGGTGACTTCTGTGCTTGCCCCTTTTTTGACCTTGTTCATGTTTTTCTGGAGCTTCTCTCCTCTTTCCCTGTAGAAAAAGGTCTCGGATTTGTCAGGTCTTTTTTCTACTTGCTCTGATTTGATCCTGAGAACATCAACCCATGC